CCGTATATTCCAGCTCAAAGCAGATAATGTGGGGTTTTCTGCCTTGATATTCTGGGATATAGGGCTGTGTGGAAGGACCCTGAGTTCACACTGCCATATATTCCATTTAAAGGGATTTTCTGCCTTGATATTCTGGGATATAGGGCTGTGTAGAAGGACCCCCAAAGCTGAAAATGTGGGGTTTTATTCAGGTGGAAGGGGCTTGAGGAGGAGAAAGAGCCTGGGAAACACAGACTACACTAAAAACAGAGCCAGATTCACAACTTTGACACATAAACATAACAACTCTTCCTACAAACCCCCTCCTCACATTGTTGATGCCCCAAAAGAAAAGGAGAAACTGTGTTATCTAATCCCAAATGGGCTTGAAAAGAGAAGAGTGAGGGGGGGGGTTAAGCAAAAGCAAGGGCTGGCTTTCTGAGGGGGCCAAGGTGAGGCCTGACTTCCTTCTTTCCTGACTGCCTGCCTGAGGCGGCCTACCTCGTTGCCCAGCAGCGGCCTTGGCCTCCTCTCTCCCTCTCTCTCTGTCTCACTCACTCGCTCACCGACTCTTCTTGGCGGAAGCGCCCCGAGGAGTCTCCAGCCGCCCTGGGCCCTGGACGCAGGAGGAGCATAGCGGAGGAGCTGCCGCGGCTGCCTCTGCCTCTGCTGCCGGGCACATCCCAGTCCCAGCGCCGCCTCCTCCTCCTCCTCCTCCCCCTCCCGCTCCTCTCGCGCCTCCTCCCCCTCCCCGCTTCATTCACCCCTCCGGCAGCCTCCCAGCCCCGTATTACTACGACGCGGCGCAGGCAGGCCGGCCCCCGCCCTTGCCGTAGTAGAGAGAGAGAGGGAGAGACGAGGAAAGGAGGGAGGGAGGGGGGAAGAGGGAGGAGGGAGGGCGCGCGCGCTCTCTCCACTCTCCTCGGCCTTGGCGCGCGCCTCTGCCTTGGCCCACAGCGCCGCCGCCGCCTCTCCGGCCAGACAGATTCGCTTCGGGACGGGCCCAAGACCAGGAGGAGGAGGAGCAGGCGGGCCTCCTTGCATGGACTAAGCCTCCCCCTCTCCACAGATATAAGCATATAGAGAGGCAGAGAGAAAGAGAAACCTGGGTCCTCGTCTCTCTCTCGCGAAAGGGCAAAGTGAAAGGAAAGCACCGCTACTACCAAGGCCTCTCTGGCCCCACCAGGCCACCCACAAAACAAGGAGGCACTACCCCTCCTGTACTTTAGGACCAACTTGGGCCTTCCCTCCAGGTGTTTTGGGCTTCAACTCCCACCATTCCTAACAGCCTCAGGCCCCTTCCTTTCCCCCCTCAGCGGCTGAGGGGGGAAAGGAAAGGGCCCGAGGTTGTGAGGAATGGTGGGAGTTGAAGCCCAAAACACCTGGAGGGAAGGCCCAAGTTAGCCCAGGCCTGCTTTAGGGAGACTATGAGGACATGGGTCACCTCTGCACTCCCAACTCCCAAGTAATAATAATAATAATAATACTTTATATACCGCTCTATCTAGTGGGACTCAGCCAAAGTAACAGAGTGACAAACATTCAATGCCAAAGTGTGGAGGATAATAATACTGCAATAATAATAAGGTTCCCTGACTGCCCCCCTCCTTCCTTTGCCTTCTTCCCTTCCTGACTCCCCTGTTTTGACTGGCTTCACTGTGGATAAGGATAAGAATAATAATGCCAAACTAGGTTCCCCCTTTTGCCCCTCTTCGGTTTTGACTGAGTTAAGTGTAAATGATGAAGATGATTATAATAATAATAATGTTGGTTCTTGCCTCGGTTTTGATTGGGTTTAAGTGTGGATTAATAATAATAGTAATAATAATAATGTTGATTCCTGCCCCTGTTTTGATTGGGTGTAAGTGTGGATTAATAATAATAATAATAATAATAATAATAGTAATAATAATGTTGATTCCTGCCCCTGTTTTGATTGGGTTTAAGTGTGAATTAATATAATGATGATGATGATGATGATTCCTGCCCCTGTTTTGATTGGGTTTAAGTGTGGATTAATAATAATAATAATAATAATATAGTATCAAGGCTCCCTTTTCCTTCTTCACCTCCTGCCTTCCCACTTTTGACTAGCTTAATTATGGATGATGATGATGATGATGATGATGATAATTACTATGTTGATTCCCTCCCCAGATTTGACTGGGTTTAAGTGTGGATGAATAATAGTAATAATGGAGTAACATGGCTATCTCTGCCTTCTTGCCTTCCTGCCTCCCCACTTTTGACTGGGATAAGTGTTGTTGTTGTTGTTGTTGATGATGATGATGATGATAGTATTGCAGCAGTAACTACATAGTTCTCTAACCAAGGTTTACCTATTTGCTTCCTTCAGTTTTGACTGGGTATAAGTGTGGATGATGATGGTGGTGGTGATAATAATAATAATGAGAAGGAAGCAACAGCCAGCATAGTGATCTTGTTTGCTGTGTACTGATCTTGTGCGTATAATAATAGTACTGCAGCAGTAACAAGATTCCCTAACTGGGGTCCCCTTACTTGCTTCTCAAACCTGTTTTGACTGGGTTTAAGTGTGGATGATGGTGGTGGTGGTAATAATGATAATAAAAAGGGAAGGAGGTAACAGCCAGCATAGTGATCTTGTTTGCTGCGTACTGATCTTGTGTATCTAATAATAATAATAATAATAATAATAATAATAATAATAATATTGCAACACAGTAACAACAAGGTTATCTAACTGGGGTCCCCCTCTTTGCTTCCCTAACCTGTTTTAACTGGGTTTAAGTGTGGATGATGATGGTGGTGGTAATAATGATAATAAAAAGGGAAGGAGGTAACAGCCAGCATTGTGATCTTGTTTGCTGTGTACTGATCTTGTGTATCATAATAATAATAATAATAATAATAATAATAATAATGCAACACAGTAACAACAAGGTTATCTAACTGGGGTCCCCCTCCTTACTTCCCTAACCTGTTTTGACTGGGTTTAAGTGTGGATCATGATGATGATGATGTTGGTGATGATGATGATGATGATAGTATTGCAGCAGTCACAAGGACAAGGTTATCTAACTGGGGTCCCCCTCTTTGCTTCCCTAACCTGTTTTAACTGGGTTTAAGTGTGGATGATGATGGTGGTGGTAATAATGATAATAAAAAGGGAAGGAGGTAACAGCCAGCATTGTGATCTTGTTTGCTGTGTACTGATCTTGTGTATCTAATAATAATAATAATAATAATAATAATAATAATAATAATAATAATAATAATGCAACACAGTAACAACAAGGTTATCTAACTGGGGTCCCCCTCCTTACTTCCCTAACCTGTTTTGACTGGGTTTAAGTGTGGATCATGATGATGATGATGTTGGTGATGATGATGATGATGATAGTATTGCAGCAGTCACAAGGACAAGGTTATCTAACTGGGGTCCCCCTCTTTGCTTCCCTAACCTGTTTTAACTGGGTTTAAGTGTGGATGATGATGGTGGTGGTAATAATGATAATAAAAAGGGAAGGAGGTAACAGCCAGCATTGTGATCTTGTTTGCTGTGTACTGATCTTGTGTATCTAATAATAATAATAATAATAATAATAATAATAATAATAATAATAATGCAACACAGTAACAACAAGGTTATCTAACTGGGGTCCCCCTCCTTACTTCCCTAACCTGTTTTGACTGGGTTTAAGTGTGGATCATGATGATGATGATGTTGGTGATGATGATGATGATGATAGTATTGCAGCAGTCACAAGGACAAAGTTCTCTAACTGGGGTCTCCCTCTTTGCTTCCCTCCCCACTTTTGACTGGGATAAGTATGAATGATGATAACAATAATGCTGTAAGGACAATGTTCTCTAACTGGGGTCCCCCTCTTTGCTTCCCTAACCAGCTCTGACTGGGTTTAAGTGTGAATGATGATAATGATAATGATAATAATGCAGTAATAATAATGTTCTCTAACTGGAGTCCCCCTCTTTGCTTCCCTAGCCAGATCTGACTGGGTTCAAGTGTGAATGATAATGATAATAATAATAATGCTGCAGTAACGACAATGTTCTTTAACTGGGGTCCCCCTCTTTGCTTCCCTAACCAGCTCTGACTGGGTTCAAGTGTGAATGATTCCCCATCCTGAACTGGACTTAAACTTAGTCAAAACAGGTTAGGGAAGCAAAGAAGGGGACCCCAGTTAGGGAACCTTGTTACTGCTGCAATACTATTATTGCACAAGATTAGTGTGAATGATGATGATGATGATGATGATGCCATAACAACAATGTTCTCTAACTGGGGTCCCCCTCTTTGCTTCCCTAACCAGTTTTGACCAGTTCCCTAACCAGCTCTGACTGGGTTCAAATGTGGATGATGATGATGATGATGATGATGATGATAATGTAGTAACAACAATGTTCTGTAACTGGGATCTCCCTCGTTGCTTCCCTAACCAGTTTTGACAGGGTTTAGGTGTTGATGATGAAGCTGCATAATAATAATAATAATAATAATAATAATAATAATAATAATAATAATAATAATAATAATAATGCAGTAACAAGGGTCTCTTTGCCTTCTTCCCCTCCTTCCTCCCCACTTTTGACTGGGATAAGTGTGGATAATGATGATGTTATAATAATAAATCACAGCAGTACGACAAGGTTCCCTGGCTGCCCCCCCCCTTTTTTTTTTTTTACCATCTTCCCTCCCTCCTGTCCAGTTCAGGATGGGGCAGGAAAAGGGGGGCGATCCTAGAAAAAGAGGGACTTCCAGCTGTAGAGGTGACAGTCCATTGCCTTGCCTGACTCTCCTCTCTCCTTCCCTTCCCTCCCTCCCTCCTTCTGAAGCAGCCGCCCGTGTGTTTTTCCAGCTGGAAGTCGCTGGAGGTTTTTCATTCGAGGAAGGAATGAAAGGGGGGGGGGGGAGAGAAGCGAAAGCAGAGGGGGGTTGTTTTACACTTACTGTGTAAAAGTGGAAAAGGGAAAGGGGAGGGAGGGGGAGTTAGAGGGAGAGAAGAAGGGGAAAGACTCACAGTGTCTCGCCAGCTGATCGCAAAGGGCTGGGGTTTGTTTTCTGAAAATGCTTTTTTTTGGAGGGAGGGAGGTATCATATATAATAATTATTCTAATTATTGCTCGTGCCCCCTCCCTGCGAGACGGGTGTTCTCCTTCGGCCCTTGGAGTAGGAGTGATGTCTGCGGTGCAGCTCTCTTCTTCTCCCTCTCTCTCCTTCCCCAGGACTGTATGCAAATAGGGAAGAGAAGCCAAATATGGAGCAGTTGGCTGCCTCTGCATCGGCTTCAAGGCTTCGACTTCTCCGTGCAAAAGGGGAGGGAAGGAGGGAGGAGAAGGAGGCAACACTTTTGTCAGGCGGCCAAGAGAGCCACACAGATTATAGCAGACGCACAACAGAGCCTGGCGGAACCAGCCTTAACCCTTTCCAGGGGCTGCTCCCTCAGTCTCCAGGAAGGGAAATACTCTGGTGGTTGCTGTTGTTTACTACTACACCCTGGCTTTGGGACTCTCTTCTACATATCCACACTTCATTCAGTAATCATTATAGCACATACACACCAGAGTTGGAGCAAGCAACTCTGGTCCTTTACAGGTTGACAAAAGGCCCTCTAAATGCATTATTCCAATGATTTCCAAGGGTGCATCCATACTGCAAGGTTAAGGCAGTTGGTTAGTGACTGCTTTAACTGCCTATGACTCTGGAATCGTGGCAGTTGTGGTTTCATAAGATGTTTAGTTTTCTCTCGCCGAACTACAGCTCCCAGGATGCCATTGCATTGAGCCATGGTGGTTAGAGTGGTGCTAAACTGAAATAATTCTGCAATTTATAGGCACCTTCCAACAAAGGATTCTCCCCAGGCAGGAAGCAGCCAGATCTTAAAGCTGAAAGGCTATTCAATGCTAAGCAAGGTGCCTAGTTGCAACATTCACACCTGCCTCAAACAAGAGTTCTTTCTCCCACCCTGGACATTCCACAGATATATAAATTCCACTTGCCTAGTTTGCAACAGACCTCACAACCTCTGAGGATGCCTGTCATAGATTTGGGTGAAATCCCCTGCAAACACTCTGAGAAGCACTTTACCCGTTGGGTTGCTCTTTACTTTTGATTAAAAACCCTCCAAATAGATACATCCTCTGCTCATGTCCAGCATTTATTTTTAAAGTTTTAACTATTACATTTGGCCCAGCCATAGATTTTTAAATTCTTGTGTGTTGTTGTCTATTTATGAGTTATATTAATTTTATTGTTGATTTTGTTTATTGCTTGTTGTTTTTGATTTGTTGTTGGGCTTGGCCTCATGTAAGCCTCTCCAAGTCCCTCGGGAAGAAGGTGGCGGGGTATAAATAAAGTTTTATTATTTATTTATTATTAATGTCAGGAGAGAATGCTTCTGGAACATGGCCATACAGCCCGGAAAACTCACAGCAACCCAGTGATTCCAGCCATGAAAGTCTTCAACAACACAATTTATAGGCACCTCAAGTGTTCACAAAATAGCGCACCCATGCTGTAAACATGCTACGTGTGCTTTCAAATTGCTGGTCAGCATCTAGCAACCTTGTGGATTTCATAGCGTTTTCTTAGGCAAGGAACAGTCAGGAGTACTTTTGCCTCTGAAAATATAGCTTAATCAGCGCTTGGTGTTCACTGGTGGTCTCCCATCCAAGTACTATCCAAAGCCAACCCTGCTTAGCTTCCAAGATCAGACAAGATTCAGTGCATTTGGGATATTAAGGTGCTCACAGACATACTACAGCACCCAAAAGACAGCACACTTGCTACTCAAATAAGTGTGATATTGTGAATATACAATCTGTGTTTAGCATGACCCTATAAGAGGGCAGGGGCCACAGTGGCACAGTAGGTTAAACTGCTAAGTTGCAGAACTTGCTGACCGGAAGGTCAGTGATTCAGATCCATGGGACAGGGTGAGCTCCAGTTGTTAGACCCAGCTCTGCCAACCTAGTATTTCGAAAACATGCAAATGTGAGTAGATCAATAGATACTGCTTTGGCAGGAAGGTAACGGCGCTCTGTGCAGTCATGCCGTCCCCATGACCTTGGAGGCATCTACAGACAACGGCGGCTCTTCGGCATAGAAATGGAGATGAGCACCACCCGCCAGAGTCAGACTTGACTAGACTTTAATGTCAAGGGAAAACTTTTATGTTTACTATAAGAGGGCAATGCAGAGCCCCAGCAAAATATGTATGTTTAGTCCATGGGAGAAGATGATATTCCCCAGAACAGAAGTGCTTTCTAAGAAGAGATGTAAGCATAAATAACAAGCAAGTAACATATATTGTGTGGGGAAAGGTACTGGTGGTAAAGAACTGACTGCTGAATCATGTTGTGTTACAAAGCCATTGTATTGAAAAGCCAGTTGCCCATTCAAAGCTGTACTGTTGTTGAAAGGAAGAAAACACAGCCTTGACAACAGAAGATGAGGAATAAAGATGAAGTTTCTTCAAACCAGTGCTGAGGAATCTTATTTAGTTACTGGTACTGCTCTGGTAACTATCACTGAAAGTAAGCCATTGCCAAGAGAGAAGCCTTATAGGAAGCAACTCCTTGTACTGAACTGAGAGAATAGCAGATCGGCATTTTATTTTCTGAAAATGTGTTCTCTCAATCTGACACATTCTATTAGACTCAGCTTTTTTATTTTTTATTATTTCTTGAAGGGGGAAATGCAAGCCTTTAAATTATTAAAAACAGGATAGATGTGATAAAAAGAAGAGGAGGAGAGGAGAAGGAATCTTGCAGTATCTTAACACTAATTGATATATTTTAGCATGAGTCTTTGTGGATTTCAGTCCATTTCCACATTGGCGTATGTGCAGCATGGCATAATTAATAGCTATCAGGGAACATGTGCGGTAGAGACATCTTAGGGTACATAATATATTAAAATTTGCTTGTCAACTTCACAACTACAAGTTCTCATTCTCCCCAAGCAGTCGGATTTTGGCTCCCAAGTATGCAAACCTTTGCTCATTCAGAGACAAAACGAAAAGGCACCCATGTGATACCACCCAAGACCTCAGATATACAAGTTCATTTCCAGGACGATTGCAAGGCAATTGTTGCATCATAACAAACCAAGCAATAACCTCAAGAGATGGCAAGTTAACAGGACAGATCAGAAACCCAGAAGGAAATTGCAAAAGTAATGAGATCAGAAGAAAGGAAGATAAACCTTTGCAGTTCAAGCTTCTTCAGTAGGACTAAAGGAAAGTTTCACATCTGTGGAAGAACAGCATAGCAGACCTTATACAAGTAACTTCCAGATCAGACGTCTTCTACACTCTAGGGAAAACAGTAGCAGTGGAGAAGGAAGAGTTGAATAACCAAAGAAAAGCAATTACAAGTAAGCAACCTGTAATTCCACATATGGAAGAATAGCAAGCTAACTTATTTGTCATAGATATAAATATCTGTTTCTAGGAACTTTACTCCACGCATTGAATAAAGCAGACTTCGCCTATGAAAGCTTATGCTAAACTTCTTTCTCTCATGATCTATAAAGCCCTAAACGGTTCAGGCCCCGCCTATCTACGCGATTGCATCTCCATCTATGAACTCTAAGATCTTCTGGGGAGGCCCTCCTTTCGCTCCCACTAATGTCACAAGTACGATTGGTAGGGATGAGAGAGAAGAGTCTTCTCGATGGTGGCCCCCCGCCTCTGGAACGCCCTTCCAAAGGAAATAAGACGGGCTCCATCCCTCCCCTCCTTTTGTAAGAGCTTGGAGACCTGGTGGTTTCAACAAGCCTTTGAGAATGAGCAGTTCTAGCTCAGCCCCAAACATTGTTGAATATGGCCTTATACATCCTATCTATTACCCTGGTCATCTCTCTAAAATGCCCTGGAAATGAGCAGCTGCAGACTCGTACCTGCTGTTGTTGTTAGCCTGTTATAGCACTGCACTTAATTCTTGGTCCCCTCATATTTGAATTTGCACTAGCCTTGGCCCAACCTTTCAATAACTCTGAACAGGCAGGATTATTTTTTTAATATATATGTGTTATTGTGATTATTTTATGCTTATGTTGTTTTGTTAATTTTATGTCATGCTGTTTACTCTGTATGTTTTTGTGATGTTTCTTGGAAACCACCCTGAGTCCCCCTCAGCGAGATAGAGCGGTATATAAATAAAGTATTTATTTATTTACCCGAGAACCACCAAACTCATTGCAACCAATAAAAGATACACCTTTGATATCCTGAACTTCCAGAGGAATATTCTCTGACAACAATTAGGACTATAGGATGCCATTGTTAGAGATGGAAAGGCCCTTTAAGAAATCCATGTTTGAAACCATGATCTCCACTAGCACTATAGGGGTTCCTAAAAGAAACATAAGCAAGCCAGGTTAAAGTATACCTGAGTTAAAATTAAGATCCAATGGACAAAAATATGTACTAATTTAATGTCATCAAGAAGTGTATAACTAGAATAAGACCTCAGTCTCCCCGAGATACATTTCTGGCTGGACCAGTTACATTAAACTACAGATATGGCTGTATATACCATTAAATTCCCTGACTTACGGTCCTAGCATACCATAAAAAAGGTAAAGTTTTCCCCTTGACATTAAGTCTAGTCATGTCCAAATCTTGGGGGGGGGGGGGTTATCTCCATTTCTATGCTGGAGAGCCAGCATTCTCTGTAGATGCCTTCTAGGTCATGTGGCCGGCATGACTGCATGGAGCGCCGTTACCTTCCCACTGAAGCAGTACCTATTGATCTACTCACATTTGCATGTTTTTGAAATGCTAAGTTATGAGAAAATGGGGCTAACAACATGAGCTCACTCCATCCACAGATTCGAACCATCAATCTTCTGATCAGCAAGTTCTGCTTAGTGGTGTAAGCAACTGTGCTACTGCAGCCCCCCATACCATACTCCTCTAGAAATCTCTAGATCCTTCTACTCAAGTCTATAGTAACTTCTGGAGAAAGCATACCTGTCCAGAAAAAAAATGATCAGGATGCCAGAGAACAAAATGTTATTTCAAGTATTTGTTGTGACACAGCCTTAGAGAAGGGAGATTACCTGATAAACTAGAAGTCCTGTGTTAATGGTTTGTACACTGCTTCTAAGTCCCACTTTGTCTTATTTGGAAAACTGCTGTAGAGCTGGGTTCACAAAATCATCAACCTGAGATGGATAAATCCCTTCCTGGTTTCAGTATAAAGTTTAGGAGCCATTCAAGGTGCTTAACCTTGGATAGCTCCAAAGGTTCTTGGATAGCTCCTTTAATATTTTGACTAAAACTTACACGGAATCTACCACCTCAAAACTTCCCTATTCTTTGATAA